AATAGCACGCCTACCCCATAGCCAAGAAAAATGAACGCAATAATTCTGATCATAAAAAGCAAAAACGAAGGAAATCTCTTTGCCAAATATGGCTGTGAGTTGAGGGAATATCAGATGTTGGAAGACAAATGTGGTTTCTGGTGAAAATGTTGAGTGGTAGGACTTATTTAGAGAGAAATTAAAAATAGAACAAGAATGGGATATAATGACTTGTTCCCGAAAAGGACTTCACTTCTGGGTTTCTTATGAAGGTTTGTTATCCTTGTGAACTACCTAGAGAAGCTGAGATACCAGATGCTTTCGCTTCAAAGAAGATGGAGTTAGAAGAGTCTAAGAAGCCATGAAGTCAACAATCTTCCTTAGTTGAGGAATCCAAATTAAAGGATCCCAGACAGATGGGTATCTGGTTGAACATATACAATGAAGAAGATCTTCCAAGACAAAAACTGATGACAAACCACCACATAATACCATAATGATTCCTGTTGATTATCTTAACATCCTGAGAGACTTGAAACTTGTAAACATTGTAAAAGAGCCATATTAGTCTACCATAGCCAAAAATCAGGAGGAATCTCGTAATACCTTGTCTGACTAGCACATTTTATTAAAAGGCAAAACTTCCATGAGCTGGAGCTCACTTCATTAGATGCGTGCAATGGTTATGATAATGAAGTGAGCTATAGCTCATAGAAGCTTTTGCCTTTTAATAAAATATGTTAATCAGAAAAGGTGCTACCAGACTCCTCGTGATTTAAAACTTGTAAATATATTAAGCTTTAAATCTCTGCCCTCACCCCCCAAAAAGAAAAAGAAAAAAAAAGTAAGATGCTATCATAACAGGCTTGCAACTCCATCTTCTCATTATTTATCTATTTACATATTTATACGATGTTTGTATGCTGCCTATTTCATATATTATTGACCTACTGCTGCATGAAATCTTCTGTGGCTATTTTCTCGTTCTTTTACTTGGCATTCAGATAGAAATACCCTTAGTCCTAGAGACGTTTATCATGGAATAAAAATAAATTGATAATTATGACACAGAGAAACACAGAAAGCTGATTCTGATTTAGGACAGAGAGCAAGGAAACATTGACAGTACATTTTGGGATTGTTTGAAAACAGTGTAAATGTCCACAGAGTGCAATGAAGTACAATTATTTCAATCCAGAGAAGTTGGCATCTACAGCGTGAGTAAATGGACAAGTTAGATATAGAATTTTGGAATAGATTTAAACCCATGTTATTTGCAGTTGGTTCCACATTGGAACTACTACAGACAGCTTATTGTTACCAGCTTTCTGTAGGTAGTAACCAAATAGTAAATTCATTTTGATCAGATTCTAGTCTTATATTATGGTTTAGAGTGAGAGGGGATTTCCCCCCTTTTTCCCCTTTTTATTTTTGATCTGGGCTTCATGGGAAACTGGTTTTGAAAAATCAGGACAACTTTATTGAAGTTGACTACCAAGAATTTATTATATAGCTACTGTGATGTTTGAACAACTGTGCTAAGCCAGTATCATAAATATGAAACTGTTTCTGAATTAAAATTACAAGAATTGCCTTTTTTTCCCCCTTTTTAGAGTAATTTCCATAAAGAACTACCATCCCAAAATAAGAATAATCACTCAGATGCTGCAGTATCACAATAAGGTAATGAATACTCTGAATAATATTTGCCATGAAGGTTTCCTGTTAAAAGATTTCTCTGATAAATTGCCTGAGAAGACTCTAAAATACAGACATTGAGACATAATGTCTAAGATACTTATTGCTCAATTAAATTATACCTCTTCAAAGTCTTTAAGGATACTCACAGGTTGCATTAATATTACTTCATATATTGCTACCACTTCACTTGATTAATGGTCAAATCATTGGCCAGGGTGTTTGTGGGACTGTCTGTCTCCCTTCACCTCTGTTTGCCCCACTGCATCTAGTGAGAAAGGCGTGTTCTTGTTTCTCTCCACTAAACGATGTCATCTTGTCAGACCCAGGAGATCCAGATGGCCCCAACCCTGTTAGCCTTTCCTAAGGCATTGAAAACCTGGTTGTTCCCCCAAGCATTTGGGCTAGAAATTTAAGTGAGCTCTGCCAGTTTGTGTTGTTTTCTTAAAAGTTGAATAAGTTGTTATGCTGTGGGACATTGTGGCTTGGATTGTTTAATTTTGGAAAAATTATTGTATTTAACTTTGTACACCACCCAGAGTCACTGTTGTAAAGGGTGGTCATATAAATCGAATAAATAAATAAATTTCTATTTATACTGGGCAAATGAGATAGAGCACAAAGCTACTCCAGGTGAGAAAAAGTCAGAGAAGTTATTTGGACATAAGGAAAAAAAAATACATGAGCCTCTCTCAAACAGTCTAATTATTATGTTGATTTTATAACAGACTATCTCCTTGATCCTTTTTTCTCTAGGGTGGCTTTGCTATCTGTCTTGATGCTATCAAGTAGGTTTGTGGTAAATTGCATGGTTAAAATACCAACTTTTGAGGAATCATAAACTTGCATTTCTACTTTTGATTTTCAAGTGGAAGGCAGATGTTCCTCTCTTCTGCAGAATTGATTGCTATTAATATTATTACAGTGTAGTAACATTGCCTGTGTTCCTGGCAATCAGACTACTCTTATTCCAATGTAAGTGACCCATCAAGGTCATTGTTACCTAATGTTGTACCAAAATAAAATAGTATGTTGCTCTTTCTTATCATGACATTATTTTCTCCTATTTTTCACTATAAGGCACATTTGATCAATCACTGTCTTGGTGCAGTTTCATCATTGCCTTCTTATCAGTCATCTATTAAGCACAAATTGTCTTATGTGGGACTGACAGCTATTTCTAGTGGGGGGGGGATGCAAATGTATTCTTCATTCCTGAGGTACTCCATGCTGAACATCTGTCTGTGTCCTCTTGAGGAAACGTCCACATGCTTGCATTTCTCCCTGTGAAAAAAAATCACATTTTTAATACGTGAAGTCCATGAACCAAATTATGGTGGTAGCTTTTTTTATCCCTGGGAGTAGGGCAGTCTATTTGCACAATAATGAGAAAAATGGACAAGTAACTTATAGTAAATATCCCCTGTGGTTGGCTAATATGAAGAATTAAAAATATAGAGTTTGGCTCTCGAATCACTTCCTTATTTCAAATCTCCTGTCATTGGGGTTGCTCTTGCAAGTGAAACATTAGCTACCCACTAACATGTTCTCTGAGACAGCCATGGGACAACTGGAGGAGAAACATCTGAATTGTACCACAATCAGCTGAATGTGGGGAGAAGCAGCATTCACACCTTTGTCTGTAGGAAGATTCCAGTTCAGAATGCAAAGACTATCTTTGTGCTTTTCCATGTATGTATAGGCACAACTTTTGGGGTTTGTAGCTTCCTACATTTTAATCTGACCCTTGATTTTAATGTAGGACCTTTTTCCCTTTGGTCAGCATGAGTGTGAATATTTTTAATGTGGTTTCATATTGAAGGAAGGAAGGAAGGCAGGCAGGCAGGCAGGCAGGAAGGGTGGGTTCAGTTTATCTGATTCTACTAGATCAATGTTTTTCAACTGTAGCAACTCTAAGATACGTGGACATCAACTCCCAGAATTCCTCATGCTGGCAGGGGAATTCTGGGAGTTGAAGTCCTCACATCTTAGAGTTGCCAAGGTTGAGAAACACTGCTCTAGATCCTCAACTTCAGCAACTTTAAGATGTGTGGACTTCAACTCCCAGAATTCCCCAGCCAGCAGCATTCTGGGAG